CTGATGTGCCTGTAGACGACTCCGTGACGTGTGCATTCAGGTAATCCGGTGATATAATCGACTGAGATGCTGGACCAGGGTCACGAGCCCAAATGGCGGGGCCAACGGAAACTGACAGAATAACATTTGTGCCTTCGAGGTTTGTTTTGCAGGTTATCTTGGGAAATAAGGAGTCATGCCCTTTTTTCCCTTACAGTAAGGCTTGTATATTAGCCCCTGAGGTAGTCACCTGCACGCCAAATGTCCACACGGATCTGGAGCCTAGAGCCCTTACGGCGCTAAATAAACTTAACTAAACTAAACTAAACATCATGACCTTGACCCAATACTCGAGTATTATGATTAATCGATCAAGCCTATTCCAACAATGCCATCTATGAATTTCTCAGGTCTAGGGTGACATAGAAGATAGCCAATTACCGATAACATCGGTTTCCGTAGGCTCCGGCTTCACAGATTTGTCTGTGTCAAACTCTATACAGGTTTGTTGAGCTGCATCAATATGGGTTGACCGTCTTGCGTCCTGGTTGCGAGCATCATAGCCTCCTGCATTGTCGAGCAAGATGGAAGAAGATGGTGAAGGAGACATCGACCTCTGAATCCTGATTGGCGCTGGAAGACCGATTCTTCCTGTCCAGGATAACTGCAGCTGGTTTTCTGATTCCTTTTCAAGGACTTCGATCAACTGATACTGAGCTCGGATGATGTCTTGGCCGAGCTTTTGCTGGTCTCGGAGTTCTTCGAGTTCGCGGGACAACTGCCTCATTTTTGCGTTCAACTTATCGCTTTCGCTGCGTGCACTCTGGCCGGCAGCTTCTGCCGAGCCCCAGAGTTCGGATAACCTGTGACATGTTGCACTAAACACCAACTGAGAAACGGTTCCGTCAGTAGGTCGTGAGTATAAGCGCTCTGTAGGCATGGTAATGGCAAATGGTAAATTTGGATGATTGATCGATATAAACGGTTTTCGTATCAGTGACATATGAGTTTAAATGTCTTCGTGACTAAATATTATAAGGGACTAAAGCATAGCTATTTAGATACATTTTCAAAAAGCCACATCTTGATCTGCATTTCCGAGCCAGTTGTGGATTCCCTGGTTACCACTTACAAGAGTCTCACATGTGATGCCATTTAACACGTCTATGGGGATCTACTTCGACATTTCTTTCTGTTATGGTGCATTTGCACGTGAAGCAGGAGCACCCGCTTTGCAGAATTTGCCTTATAGATCGATTCGAGCACATCGTCCAGGTTGCGGCATCTTGCAACCTTCAGGGCCTCGAGATGAATTGGGTACTTTTGAGTTCTTCCGGATTAAAACCTCGGGCTGTGGCAGTATTGATCTGAAAGACACCGATGGCTTATGGGATGCCTAAGTAACCCTCCTGGTTGACTTTACTGAAGTCCTTTAACCGTGTTTCATAGTCCTCGAAGATGATTTGCTACCTTACTAGCCTTCTTGGCCCATTGGGAAACGTGATCTTTGAAGTTTAGTCTTCTATCCAACAGGACACCTAGCCATCGCATGGAATCCTCGTGGAGGACCAGAGGGTTGTCCAAGTTCTTCTTTCGCGAGAAGTGCATGATCTCTGTCGACCCTCCTTTCTGGTTCGGGTTCTCCGTTGTGTTCGCGGTTCCTTCGTGGGCACCTAGTCTGTTTTGCGAGGGCTTTGTTGCAGAAGGCAAAGTGGGCTTGTGTTTTGATTCTTCCGCAAGAGCAGTTGTAGTTTTCTTCGTGCTTGAACCTCCTATGGTACCAGGTAAAGTCTCCGTGGCCAGTTCTAGATGCGATAAGCCTGTGAAGCGTTGGCCTGTCAAGCTTGAGCTGCACTGGCATCCAAGGTGCCACAAGATGGCGACCCAGTCGTCGAAAGGAGCACGTCTGGTCATATGTGGTAACTTTGAAGAAGACCACAACTAGGCGATCCATGAGCTCTATGCTGCGGTTTCCAGCTCAATGTCAGTCAAAGTGTTCTTTAGACGTTGCAGATGATGCATGGCTGATGCGCGGCTGATATAGCATGTACACAAGATTTTGGGTATGAGGTACGATAAGGTGAGTCAGGTCGACGCTCTTCCAATCACAACAAGCTAACATCCAGTGAAGAATATTTCTCAAATATCTGATTGTTGCGTGGTCACGTGACCCACTTGGGTTGGCATATTGCCCACATCCACTGCAGCTACGCACCATGTTGAACGGCAGTAGGTGACAAGGGATATCACGTGTGATAACAGGATAAGGAGTGACCCACAACACAGGGATATCCAGGAAGAGAATCATGTACCGGGGGAATCCTCCGAAGAACAAGAATACACATCAGAATCGACCATACATTTTGCTACGTGGCACACCACCTCCATGCCTTCCACATAGCAGAATACCACAACATTGCAGTTTTGCCCTGCAACACTGATCCATGTCTTCGTAGTATGGACCAGAATCTTTGATGGACAAATTTCGGCTATGGACCGGATTACGGCCGCCGATGTGGAGGCATTAGAGCTGACACGTCCCAAGCACTCCACCACAGACGCCTCGTCGATCATACATCTTTCCTAGTCTTACCTTTTGAATATCTCCCTCGAGTTAGCACGAGCTGCGGGCCCAAACAAGCGGCGTTGCATCCGAAAAACTGGTTCAGAGGAGGATGAGTGATCGAGAGCGACGGACGCGCGTGAAATTCGTGTCGAATATCAACCGATTTTGTCGACATTGCAGCTGTCAAGCGATGAAGCTGCTGCTGCAGCCCTGAGATTGCACCTTCCTCGCTTCCTGGTAAGACCGGCTGCTTCCCGAATTTTTTCAAGAGTAATTGTCGAAGTAAATGCAATCCGGAGAGAGTCGACCGTTTCTTGACACGTCTGTTTCATTGCAGACAGGCTTCGGTTTGTCAAGTCGAGAGTCGATGCCACACTACTACCCTGATAGACCAACCAGTATTGGTTGGGCTGACATCTGGCACGTCAGCCAGGCCAAGACCAAGGTCTTTAAATTCCCTGCAAATTGCAGAGCGTAGAGTGAAAGGCTGCTCTCTTGGCATGCGCCGATCTTCGTCTAAATGATGCGCGAAGCGCGAGGGGTCATAACCTGTTGGCAGTGTGGTGTTGCCGTGAACAATGTTGTTGTTGTTGTTGTTTGGTTCTACCACAGCTAACAGCTACGCGGAAGGCCTGATCTAGCTACAGGGCACGGACCACGTGACCTCCAACACTTGCAATAACTCATAATTGGTTAGCTGCAGTATGACTTGACAAGCAACTTCCAGGTCTCCATTATGTGGTTATGCAGGAAAGGTTTGGCAAGTCTGTCGCGAGAGGTCCAGGAATTGGGCCAGTCGATAAACAGCTTCCTGGTCATAACCGGATCCCACTTAGGCTAAAAGGGTGGGTGATATAGTTGGTTTGCGTGCGACAGATCCAAAAACTGCGTTGACGTTAGACATGGATGATCTTGACAGGCTACTTTGTGGACGTATTATTGAGGCTTTTCTGGACGTTCAAAATGCATGCACCATGGACTGGAACTTTTCAGTTTCTCCCTCTGGGACAGCACTGCAAACCGCGCCTCCCAGAGCCTGTGTAGTGCATGGTTGTGGAAGTGTCAGAAGATATGTACAGTCCTATCAAGCTCCAAAAGCATGGAGATTCCAGCTCATTTTTAGACGATTCCTTTGTGAGGCGGTTATCCGACCGGCATTGATGCTCCATTCCTAGACCAGCGCCCGAGTATAAAGCAGATCTTCTTCCCTTATTTACAAAGGACGGCTGGAATATAAAATCTTCATTCAGCTTTCGACCATAAACCACTTTATATCCTGCATTTTCTGCTGTATAGAGTGCTTAACGCAGATCAAATTCGATATACATTACAACATCAACTTCAATCTGTTGCCTATAATTAAGAATGCTCCTACCATGGAAACGAGAAGGCCTTTGGGCTTTACTTGCGATATCATTTACATTGGCCATTGTTTTGGGGTCTCTTGTACTCGGTACAGCCCATAGTAGAACAGCTGGGATTATTGTTCTACAGGCATGTTACTTCGTCACATGCTCACGGATTAAGGCTAATACGTAATAGTTCAATTTCAGTTCCCTGCTAGGCGGAGCATTGGTCACAAAGAGGTTGCCTCTAGAAATACATGTGGACACTTTGATTCGTAATATAGTCGCCGACGCAGCTGGCTCCGTTGGTGACCAGGCAGATAGCCTTCTAGATTCCTTTGCCAGTGAAGCGGGAGACCTAATCGGCAGCACCCTCCAAGAACTACTTCCGCAGAACTGCTCTATCGGCACCGAGAAATTCTGCGTTGGGACATCCCAGCAGGTTTCCTGCCATGAACTGCCGCCGGTATTGTCTGATATCATCACATCCGATCTTCAGAACAACCTGGGTATTGATGTCAGCCAGCTCAATGCGTTAACTAAAGCCGTTAAAGGATTTACGGCCGACCCTATTCGTGATCCGTGGATCGTGGGCAGCATTCTCCTTACATGCTTAATAGGGCTCGCAATTATCACCGCTCTCAGAGATCTCCTCATGAATTCCATCTGGTTATGTTGGAGGTCACGTGGTCCGTGCCCTGTAGCTAGATCAGGCCTTCCGCGTAGCTGTCAGCTGTACAGTAGAACAACAACAACAACATTGTTCACGGCAACACCACACTGCCAACAGGTTATGACCCCTCGCGCTTCGCGCATCATTCGTCTGATGCCAAATCTGGTGAGATCCTGATCTTTCATCTTCGTTCTCCTCATCGCAGTACTTTCTCGCGTAAGCAAAAGGCTGCTCGTCGCGATTCTGAGGGTTCTGGCTGCTCTGACGAGAGAGCCACCCTTCCGCACCTTCAAAGGAACGAAAATTTGCAATTCGAAGATTCTGGCTACTTGCCCTCTTCCGCACTTGTCATTCTCCGCCACTTCCCTCCTTCCGACATCTACAACGCATTTCCGACTGGTCTTGCCAAGATTCACTTCGGATTTCGACCTTCAAGATGTCCAATCCACTCCAACTCCCACCCATTCCCGTCCTTCTGGGCGATTCCAATCTGAAAACATGGAATCGATCTCTCAAAGATTCAGCCCAAGCTTCTGGACTATGGAAGTACTTCACACAGGTCATCACTCCAGATCAGGAAGATCCTGCCTCTCTTTCAATCAACCGAGCAAAGGCACGAGCCCTGATGGGTGCAAGCCTAGTCAAGGTCGAAGACGAACTCGTCGCTGCTGGATGGGATATCAACAACGAAGAAGACCCAAAAGCAATTTACGACCTGGTCATCAAAACCATTCCCCGACAATCAGAAAACAACCTACCTGAGCTGTTCTACGAGCTCATATCTGCCAAAATCGAGACTGGCACTCCTCTTGCACAATGGAACACCCGCTTCCATCTAACTCTCGGCAGAGTTAAGGCACTCGGTATCGACCTGGGCGATAAAGGCGCCATTCTTCTAACGCTGAAAGCGGTCAAAGATCGATATCCTCAATGGCACGCATTCCTCGAGCGCGACAACAACAAAGGCATTCTGACGTGGAAGGACCTACAGACAGAGGTTACCAGGAAATGTCACGAAGAATCCAACAGCAAGGATCTAGCATTCGCCTCCCACGCCAGAAACCCTCCTCACAACCGTTCACAGCAAGCTCAACAGCAAAAGGGTTCAGATACGGCAAATCAGCCAAAAAGAACTTACTGCCAAACTTGTCAATACTCTCACAAGCCAGACCTGCCTTTCCACCAAGCCTGCGGCAGGCACCATACTGGTGGTGACGACTCTTGCTACTTACTCCATCCAGAACTGAAGCCGAAATGGGAGAAAGCTGGCGGCAAACAGACCACACCTCCCGGCGAAGGACACGCTTCCAAGGCCAGCCTGAACGTGGGAAGCAGTCTTGTCAACTATACAAACCATCAAGTCTCTTGGATGGCAGTTAGTTCATCACTTCACAAAGACACCATTGCTGTCGATTCCTGCTGCAATGGCACAATGTTCAATGACAAGAAGTGGTTTCATCAATACCGCGACCTCGACGAACCCATACTTTTTGGCGCTTCTGATGGCAACTCTGCTGAAGCTGTCGGCATCGGAGCCATCCAGTTCCAGGCCAAACGATCCGACGGTGGGATCACCAATTTCATCCTAGACAACGTCGTTTTCTGTCCCACAGCACCTTGCAACCTTCTTAGCGAGCACCATCTTGCCACGGTTGATATTCTCCGTGGATCTTGGGGCGAACCTCTTCGAATGAGACAAAACCGCCAGGAAGCGGCTCGATTGACATATACCACGGGTATCCCTGTCCTAGACATCGTCAACGTCCCAGAGGATGCTAAACCGGTCTCACTTGTTGCTATCAATCTGGGAGTAATACATAGACGCTTTATGCATGCTAACTTTGAGAGGGTTAGAATTGCCTGCGAGAAGGAAGGTCTGAAGCTGAAGATGCCAGAAGATACCCACTGTCCTGCTTGCATGACTGGGAAAAGCTGCCAGCAGGTTCGACGAATCCCGGCAACACCAGCAACTTGCCCACTTCAAGTCCTCTACATGGACACGCTCTATCATCAACCCACTGGCCTCACGGGTTATCTTTACTCTGTTCACTTTACAGACAGCTATAGCAGCTATCGATGGATCTTGTTCGCTCGTTCGAAAGACGAGATCTGCGCTAAGATCATCACCTTCCTTAAGACTCTTCAAGTCCAGACCAAGCTGACACTTCAGATCCTGTTTTCAGATAACGGACGCGAGTTCCTTGGCAACGATGGACAACTCAAGTCTTACTTAGCTGGGAACGGCACCAAATATGAACGAACCGTACCTGGTACACCGGCGCAGCACGGAAGAGCCGAGAAGACTGGAGATATCATAATGACGCCAGCACGATGTGCAATCCTTGCATCAAAGCTCCCGGAATCCCTTTGGCCATGGGCGGAGGAATGTTCGACTGAGTTGGCAAACTTATTGCCGACGAGAGCCAATCCTGGCAGCGAATCGCCTCATCAACGGCTCTGTACCTATCTACAACTGAATGACGAAGCTTCTGCCCAACATCTACTTCATCTCCGAACCTGGGGATCACTAGCATACGTTCATATCAACAAAAAAAAACGTCAACAATCAGCCAAAGTCCGAGCCAGAGCTCGTAAAGGCTACCTGGTCGGCTACCGTGATCGCCGAGCCAAGATATACAAGATCTAGGTGCCAGAACTAAAGAAGGTTATAGACGCAAGAGACGTTCGTTTTTACGAAGGTCAGATTGGTGCCAAACTAACAGCCGACGACCCTCTCTATGAAGTCGTCTTTACTGATCCAGGATTCGAAGAGCTCAAGGCCTACCAACAACCCCTTGTACAGGTGGAAGGCACTCTTGTTACCCAACCTGAAGCTAGACCCGAGGAGACCATTCAACCTTCTAGTGCTCCCATCACACCAGATCCTCTGACACCTACTCACGGGCCCGTTATTGAGATGGGAACACCTCTATTATCGCCAACGGCAGTCAAACCTGGATCTGACGACGAATTTACTGATGTTGAAGAATCTCTTCTCCAAGAATTCCCTCTCAATATTTCCAGAAAGGATCTCAGTCCATGAACAACCCCTTCCGACCCACTTGATACTCTATTGACTGGACGTCCCAAGCGTGCAACGACCGAAGGAGTGAACTACAAACAGCCTAATCTCAAGTCAAAGTGGAAAGCAATGATTGCTCTCTCTCCAGAGAATCAAACCACTTTTGACAAGGCTTCTCATATCTCATTTGATGAGCTTATTACTCCTGTACTTGAATATAGCTTCTCAACACTGAAGATCGAGAAGATCATATCACCAGCTCCTGTGAAAAGCTTCAAAGAAGCCAAGAGCCGACCAGAACTCTGGGATGCTTGGAAACCTGCTTTCAACGCACAGATCGACAGTCTCAAGACTCGCAAGGCTTTTGACCTGGTATACCTCCCTTCTGGTCAACGAGCATTACCAGTCAAATGGGTTCCTGATCAGAAATTTGCCCCAAACGGAGACTTTCTTCGAAACAGAGCCCGTCTGGTTGTATGTGGCAATTTTGAAGAAGGCCACAACTGGGCAGTTCACGAGCTCTATGCTGCAGTTGCCAGCTCAATGTCAGTCAAAGTGTTCTTCACACTTGTTGCTGTACAAGGTCTTCACTGTTCTCAACATGATATCGTCACGGCATTTCTACATGCTCCGATCCCACAGGGCGTGCATATCTACTGCCGTCAACCACCTGATTATTCCGACGGCACTGAACGTGTTTGGAAACTCAACCAAGCTCTCTACGGACATCGAAAATCATCCGTCTGGTGGTTTGAAGAACTATCCAGCAAGCTGAAAACCATCGGCTTTGAACCGTTCCATACAGATCTCTGCATATTCAAGCACGAGAAACTGGTCATCCTCTTGATCGTACACGTTGATGACATTCTGATCGCAGCCAAGGCTAAGGCTGATTGCGATCTGGTCGTTCACCAACTTGAAAGATTCTTTGACCTTAAGAATCTCGGCGAGGTTTCAGAATTCCTTGGCTATCGTGTCATACGCAATCTCAACCACAACCAGATCTTCTTGTGCCAAGAAAAGTACTGTAAGAAGATTCTCTCGAAATATGCTGATCCTGACGTTAAGCCTGTCACTACTCCTTGGCTCCTCAAAGCCAAGATCCCTTCCAAGTGGGAACCTATCTTTGACCTCAAGAAGAAGAAGTATCTCAAACACACAAGTTCTAAAAACTACCTCTCATCTATCTGGTACTAGACCAGACATCACTTACACTGTCAACAAGCTCTCTGAAGCTAACTCCAACTTTGGTCAAATTCATATTGACATTGTTCGCCACCTTTGGCGATACTTGGCTGGAATTTCTGACTTTGGTGTTACTCTCGGCGGAAAGTATCCCATTTCCAACCTCAAACTCAATGTGTGGGCTGATGCCGCACTCGCTGACAACCTGGGAAGCCGAGCTTCAACTGGAGGTTACATTGTCTTTCTCTGCGGCGCTCCTGTCCTCTGGAAATCGAAAAGGCAACCGATAGTAGCCTTGAGTACTACTGAAGCAGAATTCATCAACCTGACTCCTGCCGGCTTAGCCGCATGCGTAATCAAATGTATGCTAGCTGAAGCTGGATGTCCCCAAAAGACAGTTATCGTCTTATTCACAGATTCACTCAATGCCATGTCTACAGTTCTCAACCCGTACAATACCGCACGTACTCGACACATCGATCTGCGATACAAGTGGATAATCGACCGTACCACACAGGGAGATTTCGAGATCAGACATGTTTCTACACATGATATAGCCGCTGACGGCTTGACCAAGCCTTTAACGCCTGAAATCCACACGAAGTTTGTCCGACAACTGAACCTTGGCCCCTGTCTATGGTAAGTTCACGTCGATTCTGAATGAATACGGTACTTCTGAGGGGGTGAAGGAAAGGTCTCAAGGACATATGGAAACTGGTGGAGGAACACATGGGAACTTGCATCTGAATAGCCGGTCCACGTCTTCTGGTAGAGGAATTCCATGACTTTCACCGATCTCGACGGCTCCAGGCCTGAGGGGGTGTGTTGGAGGTCACGTGGTCCGTGCCCTGTAGCTAGATCAGGCCTTCCGCGTAGCTGTCAGCTGTACAGTAGCACAACAACAACAACATTGTTCACGGCAACACCACACTGCCAACACAATGTTAAAAAATTGACCGGTCAGTTGATAAGGCGTCTGTTCATCGTCCCTAGTTTTATTCACTGATTTTAAAAATGGAGGGCGGAATTGGCGGGCAATCATTCTCCTCTTGCAACGATACCGGTTGCTACCTCAAAAATGAGCCAAGAACTTTTGGTTCGGGGTACGACAAATCTACGGGTGGCCGACTGCAGTATCATGTGGACGCTGAGAATGGTTCCTGTCACCTCAATGGTCCCCAAAAAGCGTAAGCAGTGGTTTGAGAATTGCGTGATAAAATGCAAGGAATCGGCAGAAGGTGTGAATGAGAGCCTGTATAGCCGCTCAAGGGGTGTTGCTGTGAATGGCACCGTGGTGGTCTCAACACGCGAAAAACAGTGTGAATTGCTTGGAATTAGGGCTATTGAGGTCGCGAAAAGTCATTAAGAACGCGAAAATTTGTGCCTATCAATAGGAAAAATAATAAGGTGCAGTAGTGGGAGCGGATAAGGGCTCATAACCTGTTGCGTAGCAAGAAGGCACGAAGAGGCGGTGAATTAAAGAAACCGATATTCAACGCTCGCATACCATGACCAACATGCCTAGCTAGCCACTCATTGGAAGGACACGTGAGCCATGATTTCCAGCTGTACTGAAATATCATGTTAGCTCTATCCTTCTTTACAAAGCAAGTGGCAATACTGGCGTCAGTCTCGCCAAGGTTACCGCTGAAGGATCAGCGCTTGGGTGCTTGCATCGGTGTTTATGCGTAATAAGCAGGATATAGAATGGGCTTAGCGTCCTAACTTGGTGTTTCTTTGCTCCTGACATATACGTAAATGAGTGGTCATGGGTGGCTCGGAGCCAGCCTCACTTAATTCCATGCATGTGTATCACACCACATCACTACTTACGGCACAATCCTTCATAGTCTCTCGAAGATGCCTCCCAGATAGAGCTGACAGCGAATTATTGTTAAGAATATGTCTAACTTGAAACATGCCTTGTGAAAGAGTTAGCCCTGCTTTGCCACCGATAAGCGCGCTATCGACATGCAAAGCCTTGCTATAAATCAGCACTTTGTCGGATGCAGTACCGACCCCGACGGCACTCCAACACCATGCATGAATCATAAGCGGAAACTGGATCATAAGCAGACATTAGACCACGGGCAAGAACTGGATATAGGCAGAAACTAGACCATGAGCGGGAATTGGATCATAGGCAGAAACTGCACGAAGGAGCCGCCGTGGTCAATCGAACTTACAGCAGCGCTCGGTCACTATGTTGAAGAATGATCCTCGCTACCAGCAGCTTTCGACCCAACCAAGCCAGGTCCCTAGATTGAAGTATCTCGATCAGCTTCGTGAGGTCGCAGGCGTGCTCGGCTCATTAAATAACATAGGTCCAGACGACTGACTGGAATCATTTTTCTGTCAGTTCTATTGTCCTACGTTAATTAGCTTGGTTATTACGAGGCCTTCGATTGAACGAGGTGATCACCTGACACCTTCAGGCCCTTGTAGATGCACGGGAGGCTTGCGTTACTGACTGACAGGGCAGGAGTTTCTGCTCATGATCCAGTTTCTGCTCACGATCCAGTTCCATCTTCCCTAACCGCTGTTTAAATCATCCAATGATCCATTACTATCTCACGCAGGCTTGACCTAGACAAGATAATTAATAAGCAGATGTGCTAACTACTGTTAAATGGGAGCCGGACATAGACACCGGATGATCTCCAATGGGGCAGAGACGCACAGGGCATCTGACCCACCCAATGTTGGCTAGGAATGGTCGATAGCACAACGACGATTCTTACGTGGCATGGCGCTCATGATAAGAAATTAGGGGGTTGGATGCTCAAGTGAGGGCATTATCAGGATGACTCATATGCAAACTCCAAGGCAGAGGGACTGTTTTGACATATGGATGCAGACACCTTGGATCCCACGGTTTCATAAAGGGGGTCGGTGCTGGCCTTACCATCATTGATACACAGTCATTACCATCGGTCAAACCGCGACACAGCGCGCCGCTACATCCGAGAACGCCATGGCCAAACACGTCGATTAGGCTCAGCCCACCGAGACCTTAGGTGTTGCAACAAGTACCAGGCACATCTTCTAGGGTTTGGTCTACATCGACTGTATCGTTACTCTGCACATTTGACTGATCGTTTCGTGTCTCCGAGGCTGCACGTCCACTCTGGCTGTCTGTCGATCTCAGGCGATGATGCTGCTTTCTCCACACGCCGACAGCCAATGACTGACCAGATTTAGCCACACGGACTCCAGAGAAGCCGGGGGGCGGCTATAAGTAAATGGCTTGTTAGAAACGGCTGCTTCGGAGGATGGCCGACACTTACATCGTCCTGTTTCTAGGGATGCAAGCAAATATTAGTTCAAGTTTGGTTCAGGTCACTTTTTCTCCACTTATGTTGTGGCAAGTTCTTCGACCCGGGCCGACAACAGGTTCAACACGCCGATTGTAGTTCCCTGAGATCCCAGGGCTCCGCAAGCACACGAGCAGCCGGCTTGAGATGATTGTTCGGAACTGGGAGAACCGAAGAGGTTATGTTCATGCTGGACATGAAACCCGACCGGTGCCGTGCTGATAGCAGCCTGTGGAAAGGGCTGTATTGGATGGTTGCGGGGACGCCGCCGCCGCCGCCGCCCGGGCTGATTTGCTTCGCCGGCGGAACTAGGGGTAGCCCTGGGATCCGAGAATGGCGTTAGAATCTGATGGCCATTGCTTGATACTCTTTGGTCTGATGCCATCGCTGAGGTCCAAGCCAACAGTAAAGAGGTACTTAAAAATGATAAGTTCTTAAGGAGGAAACTCAAAGTGGTTAAGAAACTGCCAGTAATATTTGCTCAGAAAACGCGAAGCAGAGAGGACTGCGCATATTCACTGCTACTTAAACGATATGGACGAGAACAAACAACATGATGAAAGCCTGGCATGGTTCTTGTTGGTTTAGCAGAGCCAGAGCCTGTATAGATGTGATGGTACCAGGCATCACCTTGTTTTTGTCTCCCTTGTACATATTATTTCCCGAGCGGCTGGACAGTATTTGGACTACCAACATCGTCGATCATGTCACATGGCTGTGGGGGAATACAACAGCGCTAGTACATTGGCGATGATGTCTGTTTATTCCTTGCTTGCCGTAAGCAAGGTGATACTGCACCTGTCGTATGCCAAATCTACCCTCAAAGCCGACACACATGGGGGCAGTTGGGAACTAATATCGGGCCGTTCCATACGGTCGGGTCAGGGCTTCCATTGTCTTTGGTCGGCAAGCCGAGATGTATCCACTGATTGGTTATATGAGCACCCTTCAACTCGCCTTGCTACGTGTGACTGATCACATGTAGATCTTTCAGGCCATATGGGCCGAGGCTTATAATGGGCAGGATACAGTCGAAAAGACTGTACACGAGAACACCAGGCTTAGTGTATGAGCAAACTGGTTGTCGCATGGCGTAGCAAGAACTTGACGGAACCACAAAGCGCCGTGGTGGGCCAGACCGGGTGGTTTCCTTTGGATAAAGATAATCCTTCCTGCCCTGTGCCAAGAGGACGGGACTGGCTTCTTAACTTTACAGATCACATTTCATTGCGTCTAGCTGGGCAATGTCCTCAGTATAGATACATAGCGTGGTCCCACCGGCCATGTCAGGTCAGAGAGCCACGACGTTTGCATTCCATCCCCGTCGGCCTGCAGAGGAATGTACCAAGGAACAGAGTCCCAATGATTGATTGTGACGTTGAACGTGGGATCCAAGGATGGCCGCGTATGCGGCGTCTGAAGGCATGCAAAGCTGCATTGTTTGCCAAACCGCCGGATCCCAGCCTGCATCACCTGCTTGGCGGAATTGCCTTCCTTGCAGCCATCCTTGCAGCCATCCTCGCATGCATGAATACTGCGTCCCGTGACAGGGTATTCTACCCTTCTACCGTGTTGGTTCCGGGCTCCTGAACCATTGCAAAGCTGACGCCCCCATGCCAGTCAAGGAGCCTAGCACACCTGGTGTGATCTACGGTAAATGATTCTAGCATCGGACCGTTTCGCTCTATCGGGTCCAAT